ATCAAGCAACTCATCGAATAGTTTTGACTTACATCAACTGCGTAGTTTAATAAAGAACCGGTGCTACTCGATGAATCGTGTATCTCTTATCGAGTTGGCGAACGAGCATGTTATAACGTCGATAAAAAAAATGTTGGAGGGAAAAAAATCGTCGTTGCAGACGATAGAAATGCGGAACGTGCTCTGAAAACTAGTTTGCATAAATGACTAGCCCCGATTAGATAGAGAATTACGTGGACGTGTTTGTCGAAGCCAGGTTTTATCGGCGACTCGACATCCGTCGTTCGTCTCTTGTTATTTTCACGATTTCTTTCTCTTGGAAGAATGAAAAATATTTTCAGTTGTCTCTGTGGAAACTTACTGGCGACTCACTGATATTTTCTATGGCAATTTTTTTAAGGTAAAGTGAATTTTCGATCGAATTCATTTCAGATTGAATATAGATTTGCGTTCATTTCAATTTATAAATTTTATAAATATATATATATTCGAGACTCAGAATCTTTCCAAGATTTAATTTTTATGTTCTATTAAATCTCTTCCTGTAACTTTATCGATTTCCTTATTGTATCATACATTATTTTGACTATCATTATTTTTATATCGACTTATCACAGTCAATTTTTATTCATCGTTATCGCTCTATGTTAAAATTATAGAAATGAGAAAATCGTTTATCGAAGTTAAAAGATTAGACGCATTGCAAGATTAAAGAAAGAAGTCTTAAAGGAAACCAGACAGAAAAAGATTTGCATCTGTTATTACAAAAGATTGTGATTCTAAGCATTTGTTGTATAACCAGAAGTGTTCTTCTAACGAAAACTGATGTGCAATCTGCATCTCATGAATATTAATCAATCGTGCGTTGAAATATAAATAAACGGCGAATGTTTCCATGATGATGTGTCTCAATATATTAAATTTTTACATTTTTTTTTTTTAAATTCTAAATTAAAAATTCTTCTTTCATAATCTTTCAACTATTGAATATTTCATCAAATTTATACTTTTGAAAGAAGAGGGATAGTTTTCTTTAAAATTTGAAATAATGTGTGAAGAAGTATTAGATCATAAGTTTTTAATTTATATAGTTTTCAAGTCATTTCTTCTTTGAGCATTGAAATACAAGTAAAGTATTTTATATTATGTTTAGAATTGAATGCATTAGAAGTGGCTATATTATAGATCTAGATCTATAGAATCTCATATACAGTCTCGCATAATACACTTTAAAAATATCTCTTATATATTTATTCAAAAATTAACAAAAATATAAATACTTTACACGTTAAATTTCAAACTCGATTATTTCACATTATTTGCATGACGAATAAAATAAAATCTTATAAATTGAACTTATCCTAATACTTTCACCTAATACTTTCATTTTTATCTCTCTTCTGCCTTATTCATGCCCCATTCCACATCTCCGCAAAAATCGAAACAAAGGAAAAAAAAAGAAATAAAAGAAGCAACGAGATAATTCCCTATAAAATAACTCTTCACGCTTCAATGATGGAGAATATACATTCTCCACCAAACCCTCCGATCGAGCCACGCCAAAATTGCCCGCCATCTCTCTTACACCCACCATCTAAATCCACCACCCTTCCACGCGAGCAAACGTCGGACAGGCCAACGATGATCGATCATCGAGGGTGGCAGAAATTAGGTTATTCGGCCGTGGCCGTCTCCAAGGGGTGGGCAAGGATCGACCCTCGTCGGGCGTCGAATTTTTCAACCCCTCTCCCTCTCCCCATGAAAGATTCGAGGGCGAAACGAGGCAGGGGGGAGGGGGGAGGGGGGTTTCCTCGCGTCTAGCACGGGCGTGGTTGGCGCACCGGAACTCGGCCAGACGAGTTCGCGATTCGCCGGGCCCTGTCCGACGGAAATTTACGTCCCTGGTCCCTGGGCTAAAAGCAACGATAAGCGATAGGAGGAGGCTGGCGCGGAGATTACGCGCGTTAAGAATTCAACCGTATCGGTCTCGAAAGAGGGGAGGGGGAGGAGGATTGGGGCAACTTTTCGCGCTCTCGTGAAAGGTTTATTTAATCACTGGCGCGGCGGAGGTTGTTTCTTTGGGTTTTCGCTTGGAATTATTGGCTGGATTTTATCGATTTTCGGCGCCCTGTACCGGCGGCCCCCTTTCCCCTTACGAGCAGATTTATCCGTTTCGCTGTTTATGTTTATTTTATGGTGGTTTTTGGATTTTTTCTTTTTTTCTTTTTTTTTAAGGGAAACATAAGGGAAGATATTTATATTAAGTTTGTTTTAGGTTTTTGTCCGAAGTAAATTCGTGCCTCGATTATAATTCTCAAGTTTAATTAAGGGAGTATCGGTCAAGTTCAAGCACCGTCGAGGGTAAAAAATGAATTAGAATCGTGAAGATTATCAACAGTGATTGCAATTGTAAATATTCCAAGAAATTATATTTATACTACTACTCCATCGTAATCTTACATTACTTTAACATCTCGAATGAAATGCTAATAGCCATTTTACCAAACAATGACGCATCCAAAGAATTTTCATCGAGAGGGAGAAACTGAGTTAATATCTCTCGTCTGAAGAAATATTATCTAAGAAGAGAATCAACTACGTTTTTTTTACGTAATTTATCCTTCAAAATCCTGTGTGATAAAATATAGCACAACAGGGTGAATATGAATATGCGTGCCGCGAGGAGGATGTAATTTTTTCATTTGTATATACATATATGTATATGCAGCTCACACGTTTCCCTCTAATCTATCCAGACTCGTATTCTGCTTAATTTCACTGACAAAAGAAACGGTGACTCATTTACCCGCCTCGAGTGTTTCCGGTCGTTTTGTCAGGAACTGAAAAGAATCGCCGCACAACAAGGTGAACGCATTGTGTGCAAACAAATTTTATTTAAAGGGATTCATTACCGGCCCGCTTCATAAATATTGATACGCGCCTCTCACATGGATGATGCTGTGTAATTGCGTCTACGGTAAATAAATTTTCAGCTTCGCCTCTGATCGCTGTTCGGGATAAGAAATTTTAACATACTCGTGATTCTTTTCTTAACGATGACCGATAAGGAACATTACGGTACGGTGATAAATTTGAAGAAAAAAGTGGCCTAATTTCAAAGAACAACACCTCGCAACACCTTTGTATCCTTGCAATCTTGGTAATGGTATTAATGAATTTTAAATGGAATAATGGAGTGATTGCTTGAACAACAGTATATACGTAAAGTAAGTATAAATATATTATATTTCTATAATATTTCTAATATTGACTTTTGATAAAGTTCGTTTATATTCTACGTTAAAATAATTATATATAATTATTAATCTTAATGGTTCTAATAATATTCATTTTTAATTCCCAGACGAGAGAATGATCAATTAATGAGTCGGCACTCGAGTAACTAATATAGCACATATCTTGTTAACATTCGTGACAACGATTCTTTGTATCACGTTTAAATCATCATTCCGACACGTAGCCCGATCAAATAAGCTTTATGATATTAATATGTATATCGAAAAGTTAACAGTACATTACAAGAGTTGGCCAAGATTATTATGTCTAAGAACAATTCAAATACTGTTAACGATTCTCCATACTTGTATATCGAAATGAAACATATAAAAAAATAGATATGATTCTTTCGTACGATGGAAATTTCATTACCGATAAATAATCTATATCAATATATTCAGATATATTAATCTTAAATAATATCTTGTCGTTTAAAAAGGAAAATCTATGCAACATTGATATTGGGAAAACTATCAAACAGATATATATCTTAACCATAAGACACAGTTACAGATCTTCCTTCTCATCCTTAATTGCGAAGAACGATAGCGATCGAACGATATCATCGAAACGAAGAATCTCTTACGGGCGTTTAAGTCGAGCAGGGGAGGCTCGAGCCGGGAAATTAACTCGAATTTTCGCGCGGTCGGGGATGCTCGCCGGTTGGACGAGCGTTGCATAGCCGTGAGAAGGCCGACGCGGTCGAAGCAGAACCGCAGACCGCGTCTGCGGTCTTTCCGCCGGCCCGTTCCGCTACTTTTTAGACTTTCCTGCCACGGGCGCGATTATCGATCGACGCCGGTCGCGGCATCCGGACGCAGAATTAAGCCCTTGACCGCAAAACCGGCCTGGCCGATCGTCTTCCGTTTTAAAATCGATCGTTCCCCAATTTTCATCGCGCCACCTGCTCCTCCGTGTCTGTTTTGATGGTGGAGAGATAGGGTTGTATGCAGCCGGTAGAACAGGAAAGAATTGTCCAATGTTCTTATGTCTAGTAATTTTTTTTTCTAGTAACATTACGTTTAATCTCCGACGAATCTTCTATTTGGTAATATCTAGTAATATCTGGTAACAAATAATTCGTATCGACGTATTCTTCTATCCAAATGGGTAATGTATAGTATATTTTTCGTAGTATAGTTGGTAATGATTCTATAATCGTAATGAAGAAATATATATGAAAAGTTGAAGTAGTAAAGTTACCATTTTGTGGAGAGATACGAAGTTTTATTATTCAATTAGTTAGTTAGTGAAATTCTTCTGTTTTAGTTGATTCTACGATCGTTTCGAGTATCTTTTCATTCAGTCTACACTGAGTTATATTTTATTATTCGCATAACGTAGCCTCTTACAATATTAAAAAAGGATTGGGATAAACGATGATTTCATGAAACTAATTGTCGGAAGGATCTCTGAATAACGGAGTATTGAAAGTTCCAAACATATAAATAGAGGTTTGAATAGAATCAATTTATTATCCAAGTAAAGTAGATCGATCTTTAGAAAATAAAATTTTATTTAATAATCCTCCTAATCGTCACATGTTCGATCAATATACCGTTTATACAACAAAAGAAAAAATCGAGAAAATAGATTTCCAACCAACTTTCCTTCGTTCACTTCCTAGGTGATCCTTTTCTTATAAATACGATTTTTTTTTTTTCTTTAATTAATTTGTATTAATCGTTAAATTGTCTCGCCAGATTCTCGCGACAAATATCCAAAGGCATATTGTTCAGAAAGGAGGGACATATTCGTTTCGTGGAAGGAATCGATCAAAGTCTTGGTTCCCCGGAAACCACGGCGGCGGGCACGTCGTTCTTGAAAAGTGTACCGCGGAAGGTTAAGCCTGTCAATGACGGCCAAGTGAAAGTTGGACGTCTAGACGTATTTATTTCTAGAGCGACGGACGCACCAATTTTATTCCTGTCACACCGGCACCGTACCCGTCTGATTGACGTAGGTGTTGCACTGATTTCGTCTAAAAATAAGTGTCTGTATATGGAACGCGCGTGAAACATTCGCAGCGTGGCACCGCTCCATTTATCCTCACGGACCAATTGGCACTCGATCGAGATTACAGAACGGATCGTGTTTAATGCACGCGCCGTAAATTGAAATATGGCGAAACGTGTGTGCGAAGAGAGAAAGAGAGAGAGAGAGAGAGAGAGAGAGAGATTTTAAGAAATAAAAATCAAGTAAGTTTGTTGTTAAGCGGTTAGATTTGCTCATTTTTATTCATTACTTTGATCGTTATACCCTTCTCTCTTTTTTATCAGATGTAACGGCGCTGTCTAGAAAAAAAGAAAATAGAACAAATCGCGACAACGGTTGAAGGTTCGTGCAATTTTCAACGAAGAGATATGCACGAGGCGTCGTCGCACTTCAAATATTGACCAACACGCCGAACAGACTATTCTCACAACTCATTTCATAGCCACTCAAACCTCGACAATCCTCTTCACAGAGTCAGTCAGCAAATTAAGAAAAACCTGGCTAACTAACGCTGGAAAAGAATCGGGCCACGTACCGTTTAAATCGTTCCACGAAGAAAAATCCTTGAAAGAAATCTTCATCGTCCACCATCAAGTGATCACCATCAAATAATCACTTAGCTGTTCACTCTTAATATATATTTTTTCTAGTATTAAGATATATTTATGTATTTTACATGAAAATAAAAGAGAAATTGAAAAAGAATCTATCGATTCTTCATAGAATCATTTATCTAACGTCCATAAATCCCCATAAAAAACTTCACATGAACGTAATAAACATTTCGAATATTACCCTTGTTTGGATTTTTACATACGTATCACAATACCCCTTCCCTCTCCTTACTAAACCACATTCTCCCGCCATTTTTTTATATACGAAATACAAAGTGTAGAAGTATCGAAGTCGGGCGAGACGTCCCTCCCCTCGTTTCCACAGTTCCTCCGTGGGGCATAAATCGCGGAAAGCTCGGCGATAACCGATTCCAGGCTCCGTCCTTCGGCTCTTCTGCCCGCAATGGCCGAGGCTCGTTACAACAGCGGCTCGCGACAGAGGTGAAAGTCGGATGTCTAGACGTGTTTACCCGCGGCGCAATCGCGGCTGCATTGCGACAACCTCGGATGGACGGGTGGCGAGTCGGTTTCCTCGTAAGTAACCGGCCGCCCGAGCGTGTTTCTCCACGGGGACATTGTGCAGCCGCAGAGCCGCGGCGTGTACGTGTCTCGCACGCGTAAAACGCGCGGCGCGCGCGCGCTTTCCAAATTGCACCGCGATTTCCCGAGAAATCGAACCGACTTCGGCCTGCCAGGCACGTCTCCCGGACGTATATATATATATATATGTATAATATACGACAGGCGCGCTCTTTATCGCTCACCCCCTTGCAAATATTTTTAACGTCGAATCTCACATTCGACTCGTTAGGGAGAATTTGGTTGGAGAGGAGAGGCTCTGAATTAATTGAGGAATTTCGATGCGAGATAGATCGATGGACGGATTTAAATGTTGATTAAGAGGTAGATCAGACTCGGTGGAAATCTCTGGATGGTAGGAGGGATTTTGACGTGGTGTATGTAGTAGATGGTAGATCGATAATGGTAGAATTCTTACGTGAATCGTGAGATTTTAATGTGAGTTAAGAATAGAGCGACGAGATAAATGATTCTGATGCAAGTGAGTCGGTGATAGATGGAAAAATTCTGATTTCATTCAAAGATGGATCGATGAGATTTGTATAAAAGTGGATTAGTGGATGGAATTTTAAGAAAATTTTCTGATTCTCTGATCGATCGTTGATGTCAGTGAAATTATATATCGTAGAATTCTGATATAAATTGATATTAAATCATTGAATTCGAGGAATTCTTGTGGATTGTAGATTGAAGAATCTTGATCTATATCGTGGAAGTTGAATTTATTCATGATCAAATATAAGGAGAAAGGAATTTATTGATATAATTTTACATTAAGAAAAAAAGATTAGGAAATAATATCAAGAAAGTAAATTTGAAAAGAAATTTCTAACGGTCTGAAAGTATTACACAGGTAATAGGTAAATATTTATGCAGAGTGTAGACTGCGTGAGTTAAGTAGCTTCCAAGGAAGGATTAAATGGTATTAAATGTCTGCGAGATGGATTCAAGGGAATTTCTGAATCACTTATCGGCGAACAAGGCAGTCTCGATATAATTTCCAAGATCCATTTACAAATTCTTTCGACACAGCAGGGTATATAAGTATGAGATGATTCATTTACATTAACTCCGTCACAAATTAATGTTACAAAGCCAAGTTTGAATTTGTTCGCGGTAGGAATATAGATTAACTACGATCTTTGAATGGTTGTTGGTTTATTGAATCACGAGTTGCAATAAGGTCATCATATCGTTAATTGAATTTACACAATCAGTTCACATATAGTGGTTCGATTAAATATTAGATTTGTATTTTATTTTGTGTACATAAATTTCTTTTTATAATTGTGAAAATTACGACTTTGAAATTCGTTAGATTATTCTCGATATAATTCTCAATACTTCTATGGCATAAGAAATTTTACATCTTTAAAGATTGATAATTAATTATAACTTTCTTTAACATTTGAAAACTCCAATAAAAGAAAAGATTAAAATCAAAATGAAAATATTCTAACTTTTCTATTCGAAAAAGAAACAATAATAATTCTAAATAATTCTTTAAAAACATTGAGATTATCTTTTATTACAAAAATAAAAAAACGTTATTACGAAATGTTTAGTATTACAAAAAATGGCAGCTTTTATTATAAAAGATAAGTATATATAAAGATAAAAGATAATATATAAATATATAGATTTAACCAAAAAAAAAATTTAAAAATCTTAAAAAATGATAAAAAATGATAACAAAAAAAGGTAAGTATGGAAATGGTAACTATATAGATTTAAATAAAAAATGTTTAAAAATCCTAAAAAATGAAAAAAAATGATAGCAGTAAAAGGTAAGTATGACAATGGTAAGTATAAGACAAATTTATAAAACTTGCTTTTTAATTATATTATTCCGATACAAAGTGAAATTGGACTAGAATTTCGTTAATTCAATCTATAGTTTACAGAAAATTCCAAGAATTTGACGTCATTTCTAAGAATTTTAAAAATTCTAAGAGTTACACGTAATTTCTAAGAACTGTTAAAATTCTTAGAAAAATTATTCGAGCGACCTCCTGTCATATTATGTTATCCTAATACAAAATAGAATTTATGGCCAAAAGTTTTGTTTATTCGAACAATCGGAAATTTCCCAGAATTCGACGTCATTTCCAAGAAATTTAAAAATTCTAAGAATTTGACGTCATTTCCACGAATTTTAGAAATTCTCAGAATTTGACGTCATTTCCAAGAATTTCAAAGATTCCGAGAATTTGACGTCATTTCTCAGAAAAATTTTCGATCGACCTCCTGTCATATTATGTTCTCCTAATACAAAATTAAATTTTCGGCCAAAAATTTCGTTCATTCGAACATTTCGAAAGTTCCAAGAATTTGATGTCATTTCCAAGAAATTTAGAAATTCTCAGAATTTGACGTCATTTCCAAGAATTTTAAAAATTCTCAGAATTTGACGTCATTTCCAAGA